TAGCAACTGCGGGCGTAAACCCGCCCTCCCTGCTCTTTCAATTCATTGGCTGACACGGTCTCCGCCCCCGACCCGCCCTCAGCCGGCTGGCCCAATCTTAGCCCTACTTGGTTGGCTACCCTTGCGCCTGCGCAGTTAAGAGACCAGGAAAGCTCCGCGGAAGTCCGAGCAGTTCATCCCAGAGAAAGGAGAACGAACCCCGAGTCTTTCCAATAGAGCGCCGAGACGCTCGAACGGGAGGCCTGCCTTTTACAGGACTGGGGCTGGAAGCATGCGGAAGAGCTTCGATCAGACTTGGGGAGGTGCAGGGAGTCCAACTGTCAGTAGGTGCGCATTTGGTCAGTTGGTCCCGACTCCAGTCGTCCACAGGAGGTAGTGCTGGGGAAAGTGAGCCAGGGAGCTGGCCAGCTTGTCTCGCCTGTCTTTTTAGCTAGCGGATTGAGAGGCCTTGCTTCGTTCCCAGCTCTGCGTCCCCAAGAGGGCGCACCTGGACGCCCACCTACGCGGAGAAAATCCTGACCCGGGCTTCTGTTCTCTGCCCGGGGTGACCTTGGGCTTCCCATCTGTGAAATGGTTCAACGGTCCTTGGACTCGGGATCACTCTCAGAGCGCATTCTAGCCCTCAAAGGCACCTCCAAAGAAGGGGGACAACGCCTGTAGCATCCCATCCCAAACCCCGGGTGGCGAGAACAGCACCGGGTGGCGAGAACAGCGCTACGGGGAAGCAGCTGATTGGTTGTGTGGAAGGGGGCGTGGCAGGACTACGCCACTGGGGACGCGGCCCGCGGATTTCTGGTACATTGGAAGTAGAAATACATTATTTTACCTAATCTCCTCCGCCTTTTAATATTTTTTATTTTTATTTCTTTTATGGCTGGCTCAGGCTGCCTTAAGGACGGGTGTGGCATGGCATGTGGAGCTGGGGATCGAACTTCAGTCCCGCAAGCCTGACTGGGTTTGTCCTTGCAGGAGCTTAAACAACTGAGCTAACCGGCAAGCTGCCCCCCCCCCCTTTTTTTTTTCTCCGCTGGGATTTATCTCTAGACAGGCAGGGGTCTGCTTGAGAACTCCCAGCCGTGATTCAAATGCTGCTCTAGTCTGAAGGCAGTTGTAAGCCTCCCCTGCCTATTTTTCTTCTATGTCACGTGGAGAACAGGAGATACCTTCCCTGTCCACACCAAGGAAGACAGACGCAGGAGAGGTGACCGTGGACATTTTTTGCCACTAACTGAGTGCCGTTCTCTTTTTGGTAAACGGTTGTCAGGAATCCTTGTGCTCAGATGGGATTAGAAAGCCAAGTGGCGAGGCAAGGCAATAGAGAAAGGGGCTCAGGACAATACCCTCTATCTGGCTGTCCAGAGCCCCGCAAGAGTGGTGACCTGAGGCGGCTCATTGGTCATGAAGCAGGGAGCAATTGGGGTAGGATGTGGGCTTGGGTACTGGGCAACATGAGCCTCTAGCTCGCTTCCACTTCCTTCTCTTGAGGTTTTGTTTATTTATTTATTTAGTGATAGTGGGGATTGAACTCAGGACCTTGCGCTTGCCAGGCAAGAGCTTATTCTATTGAGCCATCTCCCCGGCACTCTTGAGGTTTTAAACATTGGCAATGGAGAGGGAGGAGCCAGCTTGTTCAACACTTGTGGGGCTGGGGGTCCTGAGTGAGGAGTGGGAGGGACACAGAGGAGAGATCCCACAGCCCATATTTTCTCAAACTTCTCCTCCAGGGAGGGGGGCATGGACCCAACCAGGCTGGCAGCAGCAGGGCTCGACTGAATTTCTTCTCTAGATCTCAGATCTAATGGTCCCCAGAGACAAAGAGCAGCAGGCAGTGCCCAGGGGCAGACAGCAGGGTGCCTCCTCCCTGCTGGATCTGTCATTGGCTGGGCAGACTACATTGGGTCATCACCCTTCAGACCATCCCAAATCACAGGGAAGAGATGCAGACCAGTTTAGCAGGCACAGATGAGGACAGTGGAGGTCCAGAGAGGGGACCCGCCTGCTCCAAGGGCACACAGCGAAGTCCTAGGCAGGACTGGGCCAAACTGGGTCTCAGGCCCAAAGGACCAGCCACTTTTGTATGCCTGTACTTGTGTCCTTCTCCCCCTGTGTATGCCCACAGCACCCTTTGGAGGCTGACTATAAGCTTTTCCTTTTGCCCTGAGTGCCAAGGTTGAGTGACAGGAGGTCCCAAAGAGGGATGGAGACCTTAACTCACCTCACTCATGGGGTAGGCAGCAGATTCACTGACACCAGTCTCAGAATTTTCAAGGGCTGGCCAGATAGCTCAGTGGATTACAGCACCTGTTTAGGTAGATGCAGGGGCTGGGGGTTCAATGCCCCATTTGCTGTGCCGGGCCCCACTCCTGGGGTGCCCTGAGATGGCAATTGAGACTGGGCATGCACCTATAATCCCAGCATTGTAATCCCAGTGCTTGGGAGGCTGAAAAACAGGAAGGATCTCTACAAATCCGATCTGTGTAGTGAGACCCTGTACTAAATACATTTAAAAAAAAAAGAATTTAGGAATTAGGAGTGTTTATGGGGCAGAATGAAAAAAAAGAGGCAGAGGTAAAGAACACAGGCCTTGGGGCTCAGTATGTCAGTGTAGTGTTGGGTTACAGGTTGCTCAAAATTGAACTTAAAGCAAACAAAAAGCAACTGCAGTGGTCATGCAATTGCTAGTATTCCTAGTACTCTGGGAGGCTGAGGCAGGAGCATCTCCAGTTTGAGCACAGTGTAGTCAATTTAGGGACAGTGAGCCTCTCATCTCAAAAGTTTAGAACACTGGGCCAGAGAGATAGCTCAGTGGACTAAGCGCCTGCTTAGGAAAGCGCAGGGACTAGGGCTTGATTCTCACTACTGTATGCTGTGCCGGCCCTGCTCTCCAGGCTTGCTGAGCCGGGCACCAAGTGCAGCCATGGTGGCACATGCCTGTAATCCCGGCGTGGGGAGGCTGCAAACAGGAGGATCACTATGAGCCTGAGCCGCACAGTGAGACCCAGTACCAAATACATTAAAAAAAAAAAAAAAAAAAGAGATTAGGGCCCGGGAAGATAGTTCAGTAGAATAAGTGCTTGCCTGGCAAGCACAGGGTTCTGAGTTCAATCCCTGGTACTGCAAAACGAACAAACAAAAAAGTAGAAAAAAAAAAGTTAGAACAATGTTCACAGAGGCATGGGGCTGCAGCTCAGTGAGAAGGGCCTAGGTTTAATCCCAGGACCACCCCATTCCAAACAAAGTGCAGTTTAAAAGTGACTTTTGGGCAACCCCCTCCGGTCCCTTTCTGTCCCCTGATAATTCTGCTCTTTAAAAGGATACGATTTTCCTTGTTTCTGCTTTATTAATTCCACCCTACCTCCTGAGCAGGGTGAGACCTGCAGGCCCAGTGTCCCTCACCAACTCCCCCACCCCTGCATGCATGACTCCTTTTGGGCAGGGGCTTGCCTGTGCCCTCAACCTGCTCCCTCACAAAAGGCCTCTGGCTGTGGGGGCAGGAATCTTCCACCCTCGGCCCCACCACAGGGTAGAGATGAGGGTCTAGGAACTAGAATTCCAAGCTCTGGCGACTCTGAATCCCCCCATCTTCCCTCCATTCCCAGATGTACAAGGACCCACCATCAGTCTCCATAGCAACCATTACCCCTGGCCTCCAGAGGCCCAAAGTGTGACCCCAGGCCCCCACAGACAGCTTCCTGGCCTCAGAGAGGAGGAGGATTCTTCCTTAGGGGTCAGCCTCAGTCTTTACAACCCCGTGCTGGGCGAAAGGACCCAGGGGAGCCCTTTGCGGGTCTTGGAGAGGCCCAGTGAAGCGCGGGGGAGGGCAGGTTCTCACCCCCAGCCCTTTCCACCCATAAGGGGTACTCCCTATGTGCAGCTCCCCCCCCCCCCCCCAGTGCTGGAGCCAGTCCTGTAAGCAGCTGGTATTCTAGGAGGGAGGCGGATATAAACTAGCAAGCAACTTCAACCACAAATGCTGGACCCTCGAGGATGTGTATACTAGGCAGAAGGAAGGGCAAGGGCAAGTCCTAGGACAGTGATCCTTAAGGAAGGTCCTCCACCAGCTCATGCCTGGGGCCGACTGGAAGAGGCCAGATGGGGGCCGGGGAGATGGCTCAGTATAACAAGTGCTTCCCTGGCAAGCGCAAGGGCCTGAGCTCAATCCCCGGTTCCGGAAGAGCCCAGAGGGCATTCCATCTAGGAGGGCATCCAGGCCCCCCGGGGAATCATGCCTGTGTCCTCCGACGTGCGGTTACCCCAGCACCGGGCCTGACACGCGGGCACACTCAGGACGCACACCGGCAGAGGCCAGGCCGGGCCCGCTTTTGGAGTCGGGGACAGAGGAGGCGGAGGGAAGGGCACAGCCTTCTGGATAGGCGCGGGGGATACCGGCCTTGCCCGGGCCGCAAGGTCCCTCACCAGCTCAAGGGCGGGAGATGGCCAAAGGGTGCCGGGTTCCGGCTGTCCCCGGACCAGGCTGGGCGGCTGGGCGGCCCGTCCACCTCGGCAGAGGGCGGAGGAACGCGCCCGCCCTAGGTGCTCGGTGGCCTCGGGGCAGGTCTGGACAAGCCACGCCTCGCGTCGAGAGAGCAGGTGTCCCGACCCCGCTGCCCGACATTCCTGTCCCCGTCCCTTCCCCCCGACCCAGGCCTCGCAACGGCAGCGTCTGTGATCCCAGCCCGAGGTGCCCTCTCCAGCAGAAGAGATGGGGAGCACCGCGAGCTCGGGGCAGGTGGCTGGACCCGGCCTCCTGGGGGCTCCCCGCACCCCCAGCCCCCAGCAGGGCTCCGCGTCCCGCCGGGCGGGCGAAGGCGGGAGCCGGGGGTCTCCCCGCCCCTTCGGGCCCGGGGGCGGAGGTGAAACCTGAGCCCAGGTCGGGGGCGGAGCCGGCCCAAGCTTCCAGCGGCCCGCACGGGTGGCGAGCGCCGGGCTGGGCCGGACGGACGCCGAGCAGGTGAGGCGGTCCCGCGCGCAGGGCGCCCCGCCATCCTCGCCGCGTTCCGCAGCCCGCGATGGAGCCCGCAGCCCCGGCCCGCGCCCCGCCCTGAGCGCCCCGCGACGGCCATGCTGCCCCGGGTGCGCCCCAGGGCGCTGGGCGCCGCCGTGCTTCTTCTCGGGCTGCTGCTCCTGGTCGGGCTCTTCCTGCTCGCTGGGGACCCGCGGGCGGACGACTCGGGGGGCTCCTGCTGCCGGTCCACGCAACTTGAACTCCGGGACGGGCGGCCTTCGGGGCCCGTCGCGCGCGATGGAGCCCCGCGTCCGCCCAGGTGCCAGGTAGGTGCCATCTGGACACCTATGGGGCCTCCTGCAGGTGCTTCCCTCGGCGGGGTCTCAGTTTCTCCACCAGAGGACCGCATCCCCGGCCTTCTACACATCCGCGCCTTAGCTCCGACGCCAGGCGGGATCGCCCGGGCTCAGGCGGGCCCGAGGTGCCGTGGAGGTGGAGGCCGCGGCTGACCGGTGTCCCCTCCCCAGCTCTTGCACGTGGCCATCGTTTGCGCAGGACTGAACTCCAGCCGCGAGGTCGTCACCCTGGTGAAGTCCATGCTCTTCTACAGGTACAGCAGAAGAAGACTGGGGACTCGGGGACCAGGTCCCTCATTCCCAGGAGGCTTTGAAGAGACCATCCTGAGCAAGCGCTTCCCCCTGGGAGCCCCTGGGGTGAGGCTCGCCCACCTTCCTGCGGGGGTTTCTCAGGCTTCCTGTCTGTCTGCTCCAAAGGAAAAATCCGCTGCACCTGCACCTGGTGACCGACTCAGTGGCCAGGGGCATCCTGGAGACGCTCTTCCGCACATGGATGGTGCCAGCCCTCGGGGTCAGCTTCTACGACGCCGAGCAGCTCAAGGCAGGGTCCCACTCCCTCAACTGGGCTGTTTATTCCCAGCAGTGTGTGGGGGGAAGGGAGCCCCTCAGACGCTTCTTGAAGCTCAGACCCCTAGCTCCATCCCCGTCCCCACCGGCTCATGCCCTGGCCTGCCCTTCCCACCTCAGCCTAAGATCTCCTGGATCCCCAACAAGCACTACTCGGGCCTCTATGGGCTGATGAAGCTGGTGCTGCCCGACGTCCTGCCCCCGGGGTTGGCCCAAGTCATTGTCCTGGACATAGATGTCACCTTCGCCTCTGATATCGCTGAGCTTTGGGCACTCTTTGCTTACTTTTCTGGTGAGATACCTGGGTCCCTGCCTTCGACACCCCTTCCCTGACTTGTCGGGGTTCCAGACAAGTGGCCCCAAGCAGCTCCCTCATGCCCTCCCCTCCAGACAAGCAGGTGATCGGGCTCGTGGAGAACCAGAGCGACTGGTACCTGGGCAACCTTTGGAAGAACTACCGGCCCTGGCCTGCCTTGGGCCGGGGATTTAATACAGGTGGGGACTACGTTGGGGGAGGCATAAAGAGGGGGTTGCTAAGTCCCAGGCAGGGTACAGAATGCTGGGAAGGCCCCCAGAAAGAACAGGGATATGGAAAGAACACTGGATGAGACCCCCATCCTCATCAGTTCTGTCTGAATGCTGGATGACTGGCCAACCTGCTTGTTCCCTCAGAGCCTCAGTTTTCTCATCAATTAAATGGGGGTGTTTTCAGAAACGGTGACATCGTTAGGCAGTCTGGCTGCACAGAAATCACAGGTTGTAGTTGTACAAACCAGAGCTGGGGGGGGGGGTAGTGCAGGCCTGTGACCCCAGCACTCGGAGGCGGAGGCGGGAGGATCGCTGCGAGCTTGATGCCAGACTGGGCTCCAGAGTGAGTTGAAGGCCAGCCTGGCCCGCGTAGTGAGCCCCTAAGACATCCCCCCGCAAAAGTAACACCACCATATGGGACTGTTCTGTATGTGGTTTGTCCCTTCCTGAAAAGTCCTTTTACCACACATGACTGTACCAGAAAATCAAAACATAGACATTCAGAAGACGCCTTCATGGCCCTACTTCCAGAGGCTGGTTGTCCCTCCTGGGCATGACACAGCTCTCCCTGCCGGCAGGTGTGATCTTGCTGTGGCTCGAGCGCCTCCGGCAAGCAGGCTGGGAGCAGATGTGGCAGCTGACAGCCAGGCGCGAGCTCCTCACCCATTCCGCCACCAACTTGGCTGACCAGGTCTGGGGAAACCCTGGTGGGGTTGGGGCTGGGCAGCCTGTGGGTTGAGGCCAGACGGCTGTGTCTGCCCAGGACATCTTCAATGCCGTCCTCAAGGAGCACCCAGGCCTGGTGCAGCCCCTGCCCTGTGTCTGGAATGTCCAGCTGTCAGACCACACACTGGCCGAGCGCTGCTACTGGGAGGCGGCCGACCTCAAGGTGAGTGGGGCAGGGGACTGAGTGGTGGCGGGCTGGTCAGGAGAGAGGGATGGGGCCTCCTGATCTCTGCTCTCGGTGTTCCTACTGACACTCTCTGTGATCTCAGGTGATCCACTGGAACTCGCCAAAGAAGCTGCGAGTAAAAAACAAACACGCAGAATTCTTCCGTAACCTGTACCTGACCTTCCTGGGGTACGATGGGAACCTGCTACGACGGGAGCTCTTTGGGTGCCCCAGCCAGGCCCCAAGTGGGGCCGAGCAGGTGAGAGGGCACCACCTTCCCTTCCTCAGGGCTGCGCTGGCCCTCTCTTCTGGCACCTTGCAGCCTTGGCTGGGGTGCACATGCCTCCTGTCCCAGCCCCTGTCCTTTCCCTGCCCACCGGCTCCCCACAGCTGCAGCAGAGCCTGGCTCAACTTGATGAAGAAGATGCCTGCTTTGAGTTCCAGCAGCAGCGGCTTACTGTGCACCGTGTGCACATCACCTTCCTGCCTCACAAGCCACCAGCTCCCCAGCCTCACGATGTCACCCTGGTGGCCCAGCTTTCCATGGACCGGTGAGGGTACTGAGGGCAGCCCTGGCAGCCAGGTGTGGGCTGGGATGAGGATCTTGGAGAGAAGGCTTTCAAAGCTGGTAGCTGTCTGTGGGAATGTTCTAGAAGCCGGGCTTCAGAGTCACTTGGATGCTGAGAGCTGGCCTCAGTAGCTGTGGGGTTTGGACAAGCCCTGCTCCCTCGTATCCTGTGTCTTCCCATGCCTGGTGGGATGGGGAAGAGGAAGACTGGCCCAGAAGGCAGTACCTGCTGGTCCTGTCCAGCTGGCACTCACCACTGCCCTCACCCCAGGATACAGATGCTCGAAGCCCTGTGCAGACACTGGCCGGGCCCCATGAGCCTGGCCTTGTACCTCACAGACGCAGAGGCCCAGCAGTTGCTGCATTTTGTTGAGGTGTCGCCAGTGTTGTCTGCCCGGCAGGACGTGGCCTACCATGTGGTATACCGCGAGGGTTCCCTGTACCCTATCAACCAGCTCCGCAATGTGGCCCTGTCCCAGGCACTCACGCCTTATGTCTTCCTCAGCGACATCGACTTCCTGCCTGCCTACTCCCTCTACGACTACCTCAGGTGGGCCTGGAGGGCAGCGTGCGCTGCTGTGCCAGCTGCAGCACTGGTATTCTCTGCGCACTGGGTCTGGGTTAGGTGGTTTCTCTGGGCTCCCGAGAGTAAGGGCCACTAGGGTGGCTTCAAACAGCTCTACTGTGTCTCTGAAAGGAAGCATGGGGCCCACCCCAAAGACACAGTCCCCACTGAGCCCCTGTCACCCTGCTCATCCTCAGGGCCTCCATCCAGCAGCTGGGGCTGGGTGGCCAGCATAAGGCGGCTCTGGTGGTGCCAGCGTTCGAGACCCTGCGCTACCGCCTCAGCTTCCCCAGATCTAAGGCTGAGCTGCTAGCCTTGCTGGATGCCGGGGCCCTCTCCACCTTCAGGTAGGAGGTGCTGCCACCCTGCCGGGTTCCCACCTTGGCTAGCCTGGCCTGCAGGACCCTCCCTCAGCCAGGCCTGCCTGCTCCTGCCCCCCAGGTACCATGAGTGGCCTCAGGGTCACATGGCCACTGAATATGCCCGCTGGCGTGAGGCTCAGGCACCATACCGTGTGCAGTGGGCAGCTGATTACGAGCCCTATGTGGTGGTGCCTCGCGATTGTCCCCGCTATGACCCTCGCTTTGTGGGCTTCGGCTGGAACAAGGTGGCCCACATCGTGGAGCTCGATGCTCAGGTGAGGCCTGAACTCCTTGGGCCCAGTGCTGCTTCTGCAGAAAGCTGGCTAAACCCTTAGGCAGCTGCCAGTCTGCCCTGGCCTGGGCCCTTGCTTGGGAGCAGTGGCGTGAGCCTGCTCCCCAATATGGTGGCCTCCCCAAACTGCAGGAATATGAGCTCCTGGTGCTGCCTGAGGCCTTCACCATCCACCTGCCACACACACCAAGCCTAGACATCTCCCGCTTCCGCTCCAGCCCTGCCTACCGCGCCTGCCTGCGAGCCCTCAAGGAGGAGTTCCACCAGGACCTGTCGCGACGCTATGGGGCTGCTGCTCTCAAATACCTCACGGCCCTGCAGCGGCCCCAATGAGCCTCCCCTGGCTGGATCTGTGCCACCTCTCCACCGGTCTCGACTCCTGTGGCCTGCAGACACTGGGCACCCTCCTGCCACCCTCCCACCTTCACAGCTATTTAAGTTATTTAAGGTCTCCGTGGGTGGGCCTGGGGCCTGCCCTCCTGCCATGCCACAGCTGGGATCCGCTCCCTTTGCCCCAGGTGGTTTGGGGCTGGCTCCCCATCTTCCCTCCTGCACATTCTTTTTTGATAATTAAAGTTTTGAAGTGATTTTCTTGTTCCTCCCACGGTTGGGGAATCAAGGGACAGGGGAGGTACTACCGCTGCTGGACCTCCAGGCAGGACAGGGAGACCCAGGGAAGGCAGAGGCTGGGACTGGAGTGTCTTACCCATCCTCCCTGCCCCAAACTCAACACCATGAGGCTGAGAGACTTTATTTGGCTTTATTTAGTAAAATGTTAAAATAAATAAATACAAATTGATCAGCTGCTCTGTATCCCCCCCACCCCCTCAAAACAAAAACCAAACAAACAAAAACTTTGAAGCACAAAACTCCAAATACAAGTTCTACCAAGACTGAAATCACAAAGGGCATGGACAAGAGACAGGATTGGGGCTGGTTGGCGCTAAGAGCTTGCTGGCCTCTGGCCTGCCATCCTGCCTGCCTGCAACTCCCCGGGCTGGGAACCTGGACACTGGAGAGAGGTGCAGGGCCCGGCAGCTGCATGGAGCTGTGTGGGGCCCAGCGGGAGGAGCCGTGAGGGAGTGCCCAGTGGAAGGCACCCGCCTCCACTGAGTTACTTGTGAGAGCCCTGGCCCTCCAGGGGTGACCCCAGCTTCCTCCCCTCAAGTGGGAAGGCCAGAGGAGTTGCCAGGGGACACCAACTCTCGAGAGGACTTAAATTGGGACTGATTTAAATCAGGGTGAAAACAGGACTCCCGTTTCCTGCAAAGCATGCAGGCTGAGGGGTGGGGTGAGGTCATCATTTACACAGCAGTTTCCTCCATCCAGCACAGCTAGGAGAGGAGCACCCAGGAAGATGTCCTGGGGCCATCAGTCCTCTTACTGTAGGCACCTCCCACCCCTGCAGTGAAAGTCTCCTAAATTCAGCCCTTTAGGTAAGGACCACACCCAAGAAGGGAGGAAAGGGAAGAGACCACATTGTGTGTGTGAGCTGGGCGGTGCTGAGAGCCCAGAGGCTCTGATGGCCCCAAGGAGTGCAGAAGCAGGGTTCCGCACTGATGGCCAGCTATTCTCAGCAGCCCTGGGCCTGAGCCAAGCAGCAGCGGGCATAGGGGGTTAGGGAGGCAGCCCAAGCCCTGCAGCGGGAGTGGGGGGGTGGGGGGGTGGGAGGGAGGGGCCTGGTAAGGTACCTAATGCTAAGGAAGGAAGAAATCAGAATGAAAGAGCAAGGCAAGACCCAGAAGGCTCCTTGGAGAAAAAGGACCTGCAGGCCAGGAATGCAAAATAAGGGTGGGGTTAAAAAGGGAGATGACAGCAGCATGACCTCAGCACCGCCCTGGGGCTGGGCCAGATAGCCAGAAGTCTTGGGAGAGGGCACAGGAAGCAGGCCGGCAGGGAGAATGCAAATGGTAGGATGACACAACAAGTGGACTTCCCAGGCCCCGGGCAGGGCTGCTCCTGAGCTGGGCCCTCTAAGGTGAAGGCAGCACCAGCCTAGTTTGCACGTGTGGTTGTCAGAGCAAGAGAAGAAAAGAGGAGGCAGCATGGGTGGGGTGGTACTGTGGGCACCCTGGGGTCTGGAGCGACAGAGTGAGCCTGGCTGCACAGACCAGTGAAGGACAAGGAGAGGGCATGAGTGGGGGCCTTACTCCACAGTATGGTGGTGTCCTGGAATCAGCCGAGGGTGGAGGCTTGGGGCAGGGCTACAGTTTGTAGTGTTCTTGGAACACTAGGAAGAATCTGCTCCTTGACTTTAGGCGAGGTCAGATGGTAGTGGACAGTGCTCAAGGAAGCAGGCCAACTGGTCACTCCCTGGCTCGGTCCCCCAGCCTGCACCCCTCTTGGAGTAGAGTTTCCTTGCCAAAAAGGATGGGTATTGTGTGGCAAGCCCCAGCTCATGGGCCCAGACATGTTCGCAGGGAGCTCTGAGGCAGGCGTTCCACCTCCACTGGCCTCTGATGCGCCGCCAGTGATTGTCCCAACTAGTCTGGGCATCTCCAAGGCTCCCTGACTAGACGTAGCACCTTGGTTTCTGAATGAGAAGAGGGGGTTGCTTGGCTCCCCTCAACTAAGCTGGCAGCTAGGACCTGGCCCTGAGGCCTGTACAGCCAAACCCAAAGCCCCTTTCCAACACCTGGCAAGGACGGGCACATGACTTGAAGGAGGATCTCTTCTCTGTTGCTCCTGTTCCAGAATTGTCTGTCTCTGGGCCTAATAAGGGAGGGAGCAGCTAAAGGCGCCTTTTCTGCCACACCTAGACTCTGGCCAACCCAGGCCTGGGGCAGGCTGGGAAGAGATGTGGCAGTGGGGCCACAGGCAGAGCTTCTGCTTCTGGCCCTTCCGCCAGGGACACGCAATGGACAAAGCCGCGGTGAGGACACGTGTCCAACAGGACTTATTTCCCATACAGCATGACAGACACGATCTGAGCCATTTGGACCTGGTTTTCCCAAGTTAAAGCCACGACAGGCCTAGCCAAGGCAAGCACAGCGGTTCTGGCCCAGGGGTATCTAGGGAGCTGGGTAGGGGTGATGCCTGGAGCCAGCAGGCAGAGAAAGGTGCAGCCTCTGACTCTCCAAAACAAGACAGACTCCAGGGCGCCCAGCTCTGTCTCAGAGACAAAGGTCACTCAAGTGCCTCCTTCTTCTGTTCTCTCAAAGCACCGAGGGCTGAGGCAGCCAGCCCCACTGCCCTCCAAGGGGCAGCAAGGAACTTAGCGGCTTTGCTCTCAGCGGTGCCCCAGGCACTCGGAATGCTGGTGGCTGAAAGACCGAGAGCAGCACCAAAGGAAGGATCTCATGAGGCACCAGCCTCGCGCTAGCAGACACTGAGGGGACCGTGGGGAGGGCCCTGATACCACACACACTCCACGTGGACTCAAAAACAGGAGCCGAGATCCCTGCACCGGGAAGAGAGGGTGGTCCGTGAGGAGAGGAGGGCGGGGAGCCCGCAGCCCTTCCTGGGGACTGGCCCACCAGTTCAGAGACACAAACACAGCAAAATGTCATCATGATCAGCAGGTTCTGTGCTAAAAAATTATAACTACACGGCATGTTCTCCAGTTCTGACACCTTTTTAATAGAAATCACTGTTTTTAGGAAACAAATAGCACTTTTGTAATTTTTTTTACAATGTTTCTTACCTTGATCTTAATTTAAGTAACACTAGGAAGACCTCAGTATCTTTTATTTTCCTTTTTAATTTAAAAAAAAGTGTTTTTCCCCCAGATACAAAGTTTTTTTTTTTTTGTTTTTTTGTTTTTTTTTGTTTGCCCTTGCATTAAAAAAAAGAAAAAAAAAAACAAAAAAAAACAAAAAAAACCCAGTGCCCAAACGCTGACACAGGACTCACAAAGACTCACTGACCTCACTGACACTACGACTCCTACTCTACCATGCATGGTCTCGACTACCCTTAGCGGACTGTCAGCCTGAAAAACAGCTTTCTATTCCTTAGTTTAGTTTTTGTTACCAAAAAAAGCAAAATAAACAACAAAACTTTCTTTAAAGAAAAAAAAGGAAAAAAAAGTTAAAAAAAAAAAAAAAGAGGAAAGAAACATCTCCATTCAATTCACACACACCTGGGTCGCGTGCTGCTTCGCGCAGGGTCTTCTCTTCTTATAAATATAGAAAAGGGATGGAGCTTGTTTTCAAGTAAAATCACCAGTTCTCCTTTTTCCTTTCTGGACCACACACAACACTCCCTTCTTCCCTGCCTCAGCAAGGCCAGCAGGACCCCCACTGGCCTTGGTCTCCAAGGACTGAGGGGCTCACGGCACAGGGGTGCACGGTCACCAAGCACTCGAGGGGGAGGGGGCAGAGGCCTGGGAGGGCGGCGGGCACCCGGGCAGGAGCAGAGCTGGGGGAGAAGCTAGTGGCCTTCCTGGTGTCCCCTCCACACCCTGGCGGCCCTCCTGACAATAGGAATACTGCTTATGGATATAATTCCCACCCGCGCCCCTCCCACCCCTCCCGGTCCCTTCTCCGGGCACTGGTGTTGGTTAAATCTTGATTTCCTTTTTTTTTTTTCTTTTTTTGGTTTGATAGAAGTGAAAGTTTAGAAACAGGAAAGCCCACACACTCTTTGGACTTGTCTTCTCTATCTAGACAAACAGCTCGGCAAATAAGGATCTGAAACCTGCTCTCCTCCCTCCGCCCGTCCCTGCTCCCACCCACAAAACAAAAACAAACCCATCGTGGCTGTGGAGGCTGCTGCAGGCACACACTGGTGTATAATAGAGAGAGTAAATATATTATTTCACTTGGCATGGTGCTGGCAAAGAACCTCCAGCTGGCACTATTTCATGTAACATGGTCCAATCTTTGCATGTACACACAGAATAAGAAGGATCAATTGGCAAACTTGGGTGCCACCTGGCACAAGCATCTTCTCTCTCTCTGGAACCAAAGAACCAAAAGAATTCTGTACTTTCCAGAAGCGGTCCGGCTTTGCTGTTCGAGTCTTCAGTGTTGCGCGCTCCTGGCCGCCGGGGTCCCGTGGCTTCTCGTGAGGGCTCTGTTATTTAGTCTCTTCCCCCGGGTTACAGTTCGCTGGGCAGCTCTGGGAGGATGGGGAGGGGGTGGGCGTGGAGGCGGAGGCGCTGGCTGGGGGCGTGCAGTCCGGGCCATTGGAGATGGCCCCCACAGTGGCCTCAGAGTCTACAGGTTTGGAGAGGTCGATGCCGTGGATGAGGCGGATCAGCTGCTTTACCTTCTCCAAGGAGCTGTGCATCTCCTTCTGCCGGGCCAGGATGGTGTTCTTCATTTCCATGCATTTCTGCAGCAAACGAGAAGGCGGCCTGAGCAGATACTTTCCTAAAGGCCCGGCGGCCTCCCAGAGGAGCGGCCTCTGCCTTGAAAGAACTCTGTGGGCCAGGGGGCACCCCCCAGAACTTCTCGCTTCCACTTGGAGTGGTAGCTACTTCCTAGAAAGAGAGGCCCTGAAGTGCAAGAGGGAACAGCAATCCGACTAAAAGCCAAGCCCACTTGACACCAGCACTTAAAGCCAAACTTGCATAACTACCATGAACCTACCAAGTGAAAGTCACTTCTGAGCTTCCCATAACTGCCCTTGACGCTGGCTGGAGCAGGCACGGGTATGCTCTGTCACACTCACGGGCGGCCCTGAGGACTAGACTGAGCTCTGGGCAGAAAACCAGCTAGCAGCAACATCTAGGTTTGAGCTAAGCACCGTGGGAGTATCACTGGTCCTCGAGAGCTTAATGCCAGGGCCTGGGGAGGGCTGTGGGGTTTAGGAGCCTGGAGAATGCAGGCCCGAGGACTGTACCACAGAAGTCCTCCTGCCCGCAGCCCCATAGCTGCTGGCGCCTGCTTTAGGCGGAAGAAAAGTATTAAATCTGCAGCCATGGGTGGCTGTGCAAGTGGCAAGCTCTACGGCCACCGAGTTCCCAGCACCAGCTGGTGTCCAGAGCTGAGGATGCCCTGTTCTACAGGGGTAGGGAGGCCTGCTCCTGTCTGAAAGATCTGTGCCCTGCCTGGCTGGGGTGGGCCAGGCAGCACGCACTGCCGACACCTGGGCCTCTTTAGCACACTGCCCAGGACCAGAAGGAAATGCTGTCAGCATTGGGTGGGCAGGGGCAGGGCTGGACCTCCCCGCCCAGGGCACCAGAAGCAGTCACAAGACGGTCTGAGTCCACCCAGGGCCAGGCTCTTTCTAGACACAGACATGGTCAGGAATTTCCAGGGCTGCGACTGCACTACCATGGCTGTGGGGTCGGAACGTGCTCTCACACAGAGCCGGGCGGGCGCTCAGAGCTTGCGTAGGTGCCACGGGGCCACTGGGCTGCACCGAGCGCACTGGAGGCAGCTCCGTAACTGGCTGCAGCACACACCCTGACAATGGAAGGACCCACGCCACCCTGGGCCTCGCGTGCTGCTGCGCTCTCAGAACACACCTGGGCATCTGCGGTCTGCCACCAAAGGCAGGGTGGGGACTTACACTTATAGAATTGCTGAGCTGTTTCACCTTCTGTTCTAATTGTTCTCGCTCTTGCTTTAAGTCTGAACTCCATTTAAGTAGCTTCTGTTTCTCTTCTTCTTTAGCTAAAAGCAAAAGGGACAGTTTTCAACAATGACTACACTGAGAAGGCTGCAGTGCTCAGAATGCTCCCCAGGGAAGGTCTCTTCCCCAAAGGGACCCCCAGGTCGCACAGCCAAAGCGTGGAGCCCGCCCCACCCTCTCCTCACTGTGCTGTCCAGGCTTGCGCAGAGTGGCTTCCACAGACAGGGTCTCACCCTTCACATCCACCTTCCCCAAGAAGGTGGCACAGGGTCTGTCTCACTAATAAAAGGTTTTCATTTTATTTTATTTTGGTTTTCGGAGACAAGGTCTCACCTTATAGTCCAGGTTGGCCCTGAACTCCTGGAGATCCTCCCACCTCTGCCTCCAAGTGCTGGGATTACAGGTGTGTAAAATCACACCAGGCTTTGAAAGCAAAATAAATACCGCCTTCCCATTCCCCCAGCCCAGAATTGGGATCTGAACTCAGGGTTTTGTGCATGCTGGGAAAGTGCACTATCACTGAGCTACATCCCCAACTCTTTATTTATTTATAAAATTTTATTTATTTATTTATTTATGTGTGTGTGTGTGTGTGGCCAGCTCAGCCCACCTGGTGCTTTAGACCACTGAGCCATCTCACCAGCCCCCCCCAACTCTTTAATTAATTAACTAATTAATGCATTATCCTGCCCTCTCTCCCTTATTTTTTGAGACAGGATTTCACTAAGCAGTCCAGTTTGGCCTCAAATTTGCAAACAATCCTTTTGCCTCAACTTTCCTGGTAGCTGGGATTACAGGTATGTGCCACTGTGCCTGGCTAACAATTTCTTTCTTTCTTGTTTTTCTGAGACAGGGCCTTGTTATGTAATTCAGGCTGGCTTTGAGTTCACTGGGTAGCCCAGGCTGGCCTGGAACTTGCAGCAATCCTCCTGCCTCAGCCTCCTAAGCACTGGAACTACAGGCATGCATCATCACACCTGGCAACAAATTCTGTTGCAAGAATGTAAGCCTTAATAGAAAAGGGCTAGGGGTAATCCTTTACCTGCTTTGTAGGCAATATAGGAATGAACAATTGCTAAAGTTCCAGGCCATGGAATTGCTTCTTCTTTCTTCAGCATCTGAAAAGAATTTGAGAATTCTACCTTGAAAAGGAAGCATAAGCACACACCCTCTAGGTTAAGAGCAAGACAGGGTCTATGACTATTGGCAAACAAAATCCAGGGAGGGTTTATAGATTCCAGGCTACAAAGTGCTGAATATCAAAGGCTGCAAGAGTCAAGCACTTGTGTCTGGGTTTAGGAAGAGGTTAGGACCTGGCTGAGCACCCCAGCCTTCTCACATAGGCCGCAGGGCCTTAGTCACTGGGCACAGCCAGAGCCACCGCACAAAAGCTGCATGTCAGGATGGTGGCAGATGTCATGGGCAACTTTGTCCTTGACCCCATATGGGCTGCTTTTTTCAATTTTACTATGTCCCTCAAGGACTTTTTTTAGAACGTGGTTCTGAGGATTGAACTAAGGGCCTCTTGCATACTAGGCAGGTGCTCTGGGGCTGAGCCACATTCCCAGTCCTCTTCTTCCTTTAAAAAAATTTTATGTATTTGGTGCAGGGTCTCACTACACAGCTCGGACTGTTTTTCTCCTGTTTCAGCCTCCCCAGTACTAGGATTACAGGCATGTGTCACCACGCCAGTCTTGGTGGGTGGCTTTGTGTGTCCGGGGCATGGCCAGCACTGCACACGTACCAGGGATGGAACCTGGGTCCTTGTGTTTGTCTACACAGCGCTTAGACCACTGAGCTATCTCTGTGGCCCTCCTCTTCTTTTTGAGACAGGGTTTCACTTTGCAGTGCAAGCTGGCCTTGAACTCACTCTGTGGCCAGGCTGCTCTCCGATTCGTAGCGATCCTGCTACCTCAGCAACCTCAGCGCTGGGATCACATGTGTGCTGCCACACCTGGCCCTAGTCCTCGTTTTTTTTTTTGTTTGTTTGTTTTGTTTTGTTTTTCCTGTTATTTTTTGGAGACAGGGTCTTGCTATGCAGTACAGGCCAGCTTTGAACTTCTCATTGATCCTCCTGCCTCAGGTCTCCACACCCCACAGTACCACGTGTGCTGGGGTTATAGGCATGGGTTACCATGCCTGGCTAATTTTTTTTTTTTGCAGAACCGGGGATTGAACTCAGACCCTTGTGCTTGCCAAGGAAGCGCTTATTCTACTGAGCCATCTCCCTGGCCATTTTGTTTGGTTTTGTTATAACACAGGTTGTGCTAAATTGGCCAGGCTGGCTCAAATCTGGAATCCTCTTACTTCAGCCTCCAAGAAGCTGGGATTATAGCTATACCCAGCTTCCTGAAAGACATCTTAACCAAGGAAATTAACAGTTCTAAGTACTAAAGCATAATCTAGATCCTGTGCAGATTATCAAAAGGTCACAAAGTAGCATCAGAAGAGAGCAGAGAGGGCTATTCTACTACACTGGAGGCCGAGGGAAGAGGAGCAAGATCAGAAGAGTACTCGTGAATCGAAGAGCTTTATTTATTTATTTATTTATTTATTTATTTTTTTGTGCAACCAGGGATTGACAAAGAGCTTTAAAAGAGCTACACAGGACTCTAGTGCTTGTTGGATTACATATTATTTATACAGCACTTTGCCTATTTCCGAAAGACCTGGGACAGCTTGTAATGCCTCAGTACTAGAGACTGAACCCAGGGCCTCTACACTGAGTTGTATACTCAGCTTCTTTTTATTTTGAGACAATCTTACTAACTTGTTAAATTGTCTAGCCCGCGTTTGAACTTGTGATTATCCGGAGTCAACCTCACAGTACTAGGATTAGAAGTGTTTGCAACTATATCCAGCTACAGCAAAGTTACAAAGACAAAACTACATGAATAACTGAAAAAACAGACCAGGAACCAAACAGAGAAGGAAGGAAGTAGCTAGGGCAGTTACTGACATGTGTAAAATATCAAGATAGCACTTCACAGTTAGTTCTCTACGCGAGCTTTTGAGGGTCTTGACATTTAAAGAGAAGATGAGGATTTGAACTACAGGGAAGCAGGCCTCCACCTCAGTCAGTGGGACAGACTCTGAGGCAGGAGGCTGTGCCTGGTGTGGTCTGGAAAAGAACAGCTGGGTGAGAGCAGAGCGGCCCACCCCAGGAAGAGGAAGGGGCTTCCCTTCCTCCTCCGCCTCAGCTCGCCCTCCTCTGAGCCACCCATACCTGGTCCTGACACCTGGGACAGATCCACATGCCCTTGGGGATGGTTTTCAGAGGCGGGTCGAGGCAGTCCAGGTGATACACGCGGGAACACGTGTCGCACATCAATAGCTGGCCACTTTTTCTGCAAACGCTGCAAAAATCCTCGTGGATATCACCCTATGAAATTGAAAGGAAAGGTAAGAGAAGGACAAAAAGGTAAAATTTTCACATTAACATGTTCTGGATCAGGTTCAGGGAAAGGGGGAACGGCTACTGGCCGAGTCCCATAGGACCAAGCTTCCCTAAGTAGACGCAGAATTTTAAACTTTGGTTTTTATTGGAAAGCTCTATAATTGCCTAGGTCAAAATTAACTTTATAGGTGATAGTTCAGCATTTATGATGTCTGCTAAGAGTCCAACCCATAAATCAGAAATTTTACAGGCAGTAAAATCCATTCATCAAAGTGTCTCACAATAGGATATAAACAATCCTCATTATCTATCATTTTATGGGAGGAGTTTAGAAGAATCGGAAAAGACAGAGAAGAAGTAAAGTTTTACTAAACTCCTTGCTTACTAAGAGGGGAAAATACAGAAAAGTTCAAATGGGAAAATACTGAGTCAGTGGCACAGGAAACTCATATAAGCTTTCTTACACCGAGACTTTAAGAAGCCAAAGCAATAGCTGACAGCGTTCTCTTAAAGTCCCTATTTAGCTTTGCTGTTTGATGGGCCATTCCATCCATGAGATTTTACTCCCCCCACATAAATACTGCACCGCATGGAAAGAGACAAGCAATCCCAGGTCGCTCTGCCACCCCCACATCCCACGGTGACGGGTTTACTACTCAGGGGAATGTGCTGGATTCTCTGAACAGAAGACGCTCTCAGAAAAGAGCTCTATGTGAATTTTGGAGAACTCAGGGAGGGAACAGAAAGTTCTTGTGAGGTGAACGTGATAACCACTACACTATGGAAACCACCTTAAGAAAGAGTTCTTGGGGCTGGGGAGATGGCTCAGTGGAATGAGTGCTTCCCTGGCAAGCACAAAGGCCTGAGTTTCATCCCTGGTTCCACCAAAAAAAAAAAAAAAAAAAAAAAAAAAAAAAAAAAAAAAAAAAAAAAAAAAAAGGGGAAAAAAAAAAAGAGTGAAGAAAGAGTTCTTTCATTCTTTTCTTTTCTTTTTTTAAGAAAGAGTTCTTGAAGAAGTATTTTTCATCAAGTCAATCCCATCCTGTTCTCTACACAGGAGTAATCCTGGTGAGGGTCCCGAGGATCAGAAGGCGGAAGGGACAGGGCAGAGGGGACTCGCCAAGTTGGTGCCAGCGTGTCGCCTTAAGGTTTCTAATCTTCCATGCTGAAGGCCTAGGACAGGCCTTTTCCTTATAGGAAGCAACGCCACAGAGCATTGGCCAGGCTTTCCTTTCCATGGGAGAGCCCTCCCCGAACACCACACTCAAAGCAGAGCTCTGCGGACCTACACACCTCTCTAAAGGACAGATCTACATGCCCTTGGGGATGGTTTCTCTGTAATGCACCAGGTATGTGGCAGCCTAGAGAAAAGTTCTCAATACATCCAAGTCTGGATAATAAAATATTACCTCTGGGTCATAAAAGAGAAACTCAGTATATATGCAAAAAATATTATAGGAAATCGTGCCTAATAGTTGACCTTCTAGGTCCTCATAGATTTGTCCTCAGATTAACTGTGGCTTTCTTCCTTCCTTCTTTTTGTTTTTCTTTTCTTTTTGTTTTTGTTTTTGTTTTTGTTTTTTTGAGGCAGGGTCTTGCTGTGTAACCCAGGCTATCTTCAAACTCATAGCAATCCTTTTGCCTCAGCTTCCCCAGCATTGGGATTACCCAGTTTGTACCACCCCGCCTCTTCCTTCACTTTCTTTTTCTTTTTTTTTCTACCAGGGACTGAACTCAAGATCTTGCCAGGCACTTGCCAGGCAAGAACTTAAGCTGCTGAGCTGTCTCCCTGCCTTCCTTCACTCATATCAGGATGAAAAATGCATTCCCCCTCTGGAGTCAGAACTTAGCCCCAGGCTATAGGTCTTCATTGCTATAGAGTATAGAGTTTATAAAGAATATAGAGACTGCTTTACATGAACCAGAGATAAAATTATCAGTGGATTATGAGTTATGCTGGACACAGTGAGCGGGACTTGGGGTAAAAAGAGTTTTCCTCGCTCTCCTTTTTCTCCTAAACTAGGAGAACATTAACAAACAGAAGGAAGAGAGTACTGAAAATAAAAATCAATTTCTTTCAAGTTTTTATTTATTTATTTATTTATTTTTGGTGGAACTGGGGATTGAACTCAGGCCCTTGTACTTGCCAGGGAAGCACTTATTCTACTGAGCCATCTCCCCAGCCCCCCTCTTTCAAGTTTTTAAATGAAAGAAAATTTCTTACTTCATTTATATATTCTAAGGCAGTGGTTCCTAATAATTTTGGGCCAGGAATCCTTTATACTCTTAAAATCACTGGGGATCCCAGAGAGCTCTTGTTCATGTGAATTCTACTTACTATTTTTGTTGTATTAGACAGGAGCTCTAATACGGGGAGGCTTACTGGGGACTGAACCCCGGGCCTTGCAGATACTAGGCAAGCACCTCACCACTGGGCTATATTCCTGCCCCTTTTATTAAAAGTTTGAGACATAGGGTCTTGCTATTGGCTAGACTGGCCTGGAACTCGCAACAGCCCTGCCTTGTCCTCCTGACTTGCTCAAATTACAGTTCTTTTTTTTTTTTTTTAAGCTTTTTTTT